CCCAGTGAGGAGGGAGAGGGAGGAGGGAATTGGAGGGGAGGGAGGGGCCACGGACTGGAGGGGTAAAGGGAGAGAGGCTGGTAAGGTTGTGGCCGGCGGTGGGAAGGCGGCCGGGGGTGGGTGGGTGGCAGGGTGCCGTGTCTGTTGTTTCTGCTGCTGCTGCTGGCAGCCACCAGCTCAGCTCCTCTGCTCGCGACCCCGCTGCAGCCCGCTGGCCGCCTTGCCGCCGCCCGCGTCTCACCCTCCCTCGCCCCGCACCCGCACCCTCCCTGCCTGCAGGTTGAGGTGCAGGACGTCAGCGCCAGGACATGCATGTTCAGCCTGGTGGGCCCGCAGGCGGACGAGGTGGTGGAGAAGCTGCAGGCGGGCGCCGTTGTGGGCGCACCGTACGGCTCCCACACCCTGCTGAGCTTCCAGGGTGAGGGGCAGGGGGTCGGCCTGGGGAGCGGCCGCGGCAGGCGCGGGAGCCGCAGCCTGCACCGCACCTCCAGCCAGCGCGTGGCGCCACCCCATCCCTGTGGGGTGGGCGCCCACTGGTGCCGCCACCACGCTCGGCGGGCGTGCCCCCGTGATGCGCCCCCCACTCCCACCCCCACCCACCACTCATCACACAAACACGCACTGCACACCACATCCTACACATCACCATCACCACCACCACCACCACCACACACACACACACACACACCTCCCTGCCTCTCCGCCCTGTGCAGGCAAGCCCGTGATTGTGGCGGCAGGCGGCGGCCTGCCCGGCCCTGGCTACACCTTCATCGCCGACGAGTCGGTGGCGGCAGACGTGTGGAGGGCGCTGACGGCCCAGGTGAGGCGCCCAGGCAGGCGGCAGGCGGCCTGCAGGGGTCGCGGCCAGCCCTCGAGGAACACTTGGCTGCCTGCCCCGCTTGCCTGCCTGCCTGCCTGACTGGCGGCCCCTGCCGCGGCGCCACCGCCCCGTTTCGCCCACCCCACCGCCTGCCACCCCGGGGCCCATGCCGCAGAGGGTGTTGAGCCTGCCGGGGCCGATGTGTGGCAGATGGCGCGCGTGGTGGCGGGGCGCCCCGCCGTGGGCTCAGAGCTTACAGAGGAGCACACCCCTCTGGAGGCCGGCCTCTACCACGCCGTGTCCCTGCAGAAGGGCTGCTACATTGGCCAGGAGACGATTGCCAAGGTCAGAAATTGCTTCTGAACAAGTGTTTCGAAACAATTTTGATGATAGAAAAATTAAATGTTTCTATCATCTCCCCGGGAGTGGGGCGCGCGCTGCCGGGCGGGCCGCAGGGCTGCCGCGGCGGCGGGGTGCAGGCAGCACGGCTGGAGCCGGCGGGGTGCAGGCAGCACGGCTGGAGCCGGCGGGGTGCAGGCAGCACGGCTGGAGCCAGCGGGGTGCCGGGCTTGGGGGCACGGTGCATGCGTGCAATGCAAGGCGGCCGCTGCCGACGCATGCGGAGCCGGGCAGAGGTGCAATTGCGCCGCCGCAAACGGTTCAGCCGCCCCTCCACCCGCGCGCTGCCGCCCCTTTGGGCCTCCCCTGCCGCCGCCGCCGCAGGTTCACAACCTGAACGCCGTGAAGCGGCAGCTGTGGGGTCTGGACATGGAGGCTCCCTGCGCGGTGGGCGACGAGGTGGTTTCTGCGGAGGGGCAGGGCGGCGCGGCGCTTGGGCGCGTGACCTCGTATGTCGACACCCCAGACGGTGCGCGGGGCTGGCGCCTTGCGCGCTCGAGTGCCGCGGCGGGGCCACAGGGATGCGCGGTGGTGGGTAAGGCGTCGGCGGGGCGCTGTACCCCCGCACCCAAGCCTGCCGTGCTGCGGAGCCCGGTCGACAGGAGGGGCAAGGTGTCGGCGGTGATGATGCCTGTGAGTGCGCAGCGCATGCCACCCGCACGATCTCAAATCTCTCTCTCTCTCTGTGCGCATGCATGCAGGCCGCCACCGGGCGCTGGCCTACCTCAAGTCCAGGTCCAAGGGTGCCCAGGTGGAGCTGGAAGGGCTGCCTGTGATGGTGGCGGGAGCCAAGGGCAGGGTCATAGCGGTGCCCTTCCTCTCCCGCACCTTCCCCGAGGGCCAGGGCGAGGCAGGAGGCGCGGCGGGCGCCGAGGGAGGCGCCGCCAGCAGCGGCAGCGAAGGCGAGGAGCTGGCTGCCCGCAAGGCCGAGGCGGCGCGGCAGCGGGAGGAGGAGGAGGCGGCGGCGGCGGCGGCGCGGGCCGAGAAGATGCGGGCGATGCAGGAGCGGCTGGCGGCGTGGCAGGCGGAGCAGGCGCAGCAGCAGCAGTGACGGGGCTGCGTGGTGTGGGCTGCCGCCATACCCGCCGTCCCTGCATTGTGCACCCTGTCCCCCTGTGCACCACAAGCCACGCACAGTGCGCCAGCCGCTTAAAGGTGCAGAGTTTAACAACAGGTGCTTTGGATGGCTGCACGCGGCGGTTGAAGCGGCGGTATTGCACGCATCAGCAGATGTGGTACTGTCCAAACACACAACCTTCTGTATGCGGTGGTACCGTGTGCATCAGCAGATGTGGTACTGCCCGTACACCACCTCCCGTATGCGGTAGTAGTCCTCGCTCAGCGCCCCCTCCAGCACCAGCCCGCCGCCGCCGCCCTCACCGGCGCCCGGCTGCCGCCGCCGCACCACCACCTGTCCCGCGCAGTACAGCGAGCCCGCATGGAACTCCGAGGCGATCCCCGCCGCCGCCAGCGCCTGCTTCAGCTCTGCGGCGGCACGTCGGGGCAGCATGGGGAGGGTAAGGGCAGCGCGTCGACGCGCAGAGCGCAAGCAAGGGGGCTGTCGATGTGCTGTGTGCTTGCGTGTTTGCGGGAGGGGCGGTGGGACACAGCCTTTCTCTAGGCCCAGCGGCACAGAGAGGC